AAAGGGGGTTCCAAAGAGGATGGATCTAGACTGTTCTCAGTGGTACCAGATGACAGAACAAGGAGTAATGGTCTCAAGTTGCAGTGGGGGAGGTTTAGGCTGGATATTAGGAAAAACTTTTTCACTAGGAGGGTGGTGAAGCACTGGAATGGGTTACCTAGGGAGGTGGTGGAATCTCCTTCCATAGAGGTTTTTAAGGTCAGGCTTGACAAAGCCCTGACTGGGATGATTTAGTTGGGAATTGGTCCTGCTTTGAACAGGGGGTTGGACTAGATGACCTCCTGAGATCCCTTCCAACCCTGATATTCTATGATTCTATGCTCATTCTCCCACTGAATGTTAGTGACAAAACTTCTACTGGCTTGGTGCAGGATTGGATCCATTACTTGTATGTAGTTCTTAGTAAGATATGTAAGCTTTGCGGAGTCTGAACAAAATGGCTGAGGTATAAAGAATCTGCTGGTGTCTTCAGATTGTAAATTCTTTAAGGCAGAGACTTTAGGCCAAATCCTGAAAGATATTTTGCACCCACAACTCAATGATAATTGGGGCGTGCCTGTCAGATATATGGAATCACAATCCATCTTAAACAGTATTTATTAAAGAGCAGCAGCATTTATTAAAGAAAAACCACTACAAACTATACCGACTGACAAATAATCTTCCACACAGCTTGAGTTTCAACTTTGTCTCTCTTGTTTACCAGTGACCACATCCAGTCTGGAACTCTGTGTAGCACAGTGGTTCTCAAACTTTTCTACTGGTGACCCCTTTCACATAGCAAGCCTCTGAGTGCAACCCCCCCTTATAAATTAAAAACACTTTTTAATATATTTAACACCATTATAAATATTGGATGCAAAGTGGGATTTAGGGAGCAGGCTGACAGCTCGCGACCCCCCATATAATAACCTTGCGACCCCCTGAGGGATCCCGAACCCCAATTTGAGAACCCCTGGTGTAGCATACAGGGACAGTTAGTGGCTGAATATTGTACTGAAAGTAAATATAATTACAGTGCTCAACGTCCCTCAGGATTAGTCACTTTGTTTGGCATCTTAACCATTATAAAGAACTGTGTACACTTACAAATCATTATTATCATTAGCAATGAGTGAGAGTACTTCACATGCACAGAATGTCATTTTCCTTACCAGTTAGAGGGCTCAGTCCTGCAAGGTTCTGTGTGTCTTCAACTCACTTACTTCCAAAAGTAGCTCAGCACCTCACAGGACTGAACACTGTATGTTCAACAAGAGTGAAATTTATTTTATCTGCACAAAGCTAGAGTAATACAAAATAATACACAGATATTGGGCTCCTGTCAGGGGTGTGGGAGGCAAAGTCCCCATTCCCTCAGCCCAGAGCCAAGGCAGTACAGCCCCCTGTGGGTGAATTTGATAGCTAGTACCAAAGTGGATAAATATTCAGAGAGGACATGAATCACACACTGGACAAAATGGATCACATACCTGACCAATCACCTGTGGCAGGTAAGGCATTGTTTTGGGGAATATGCACACAAAGGACTGACCTGATTGGTCAATGAGTGATTGTTAGGCCTGGCAGAATTTTATTTTTACTTTTTAAAATTTTGATAGATAATAGTTTATTTTTAAGCATTTTTTAGCCATTTAAATGTTCACAGTTGCACAAAATTATGGTTTGAGGCATATTTTTAGATTTTTATCTATTTAAATTTTCACATTTGCAGGAAATTATGGGGGCATAATTGTCAAATAACGAGAGGGTCAGACAATAATTATTTAATGACAGATGCTGAGATTCAAAAAGTTAAAGCTTTATAACCATTAAAACAAAATGTGAACATCACATCAAAATATACAAATATCCTTAAATCAAACTCTAAGTTCTTAAGCAGCGTTTTTCTTACTTTTCCTTTCTGTAAATTTTGTTTATTATCGATGGAAATATTTTTTCATTGTTTCGTGTGTGCATGGTGACATTTACTGATAAAAATCTAATCCTCCCAGGCCTAGTGGTTGCTGTCTCAGGGGACAGAGTGAGAATAGAGCATAAGGGAGCATCCAGATAAGGAGATGGACAACAGTTGCAGGGAGAGTGGCAAAGTCAACATACATACTTCTTTCCCCAAAGGTGGCACTCCATCTTTCCCATTTCCTTCCTGTTCCCCACAAAGGCCCTGCTCTCTGGCAACCTTCCCGCAGGCAGACACTGTCCCCTCTGTAATTGATTGGTGGAGTCACTAGGATGTGACAATGGGGAGTGCTAAGCAAGTGCTGCGAATACAGGGAGTGCAGTGCTAACTCAGCTCCAACTTGGATCCTTCTTTGGGAGTGGATAGCTGTGCCTCTAGCCTACGGGGTCAGCCCATCGCTATTCATTGTGAATGCAGGGCAGCACAAGGCCTACGCAACTTAAGGCCCCTTAGGATTCCGGTGAGACTGAAGTGATGTCAAATGTAAAAATCCCAAGCAAGGGGTTTCCACCACTTCCCCAAGATGCTATTGCTAAATGTCCGGACTTCCCCCCCCATGCAGAGCACGCGTGGCTAACAGGGCAGCCGGCCGGATGGTGTCATTTACATGGGGTTCCGACAGACAGAGAGAGCCCCTCCTCCGCTTCCCCTGCAGCAGAGATCACTCCCTCTCTCCCTGCATTCGCAGATCGCCAGC